ATGGAACAGCTAGAATGAATGAACGGTCGCGGGCTTACGCCAGCGCTACAGGACATAGAAACATTTGAAACATTTGTAATCGTTTGATTTTTTTCTCTAATCTAACTACTTTTGTTAACAATAACAATATTTCCTTTATTTTGTCCAACAGAGTGGCAATATCAGTATACATCTTCTTTGACTAGGGTAGGGTGGGGTAATTTGAACATGTCGGGCAATTTGAACATAGTGTAAAAAACTCAAAATTACGGAAAATCCATAAGTGACATGACAATATGACCAATGAGGGAAATTATCGTAACTAAAAGGGCTATCATATGAACGGGGCTTAAAGTTTCATGGAATGAAGATGCTGACGCACACTGTAAAAAATCATTTTCGCAAGTAAAAACGCCTAAAAACACGTCATTGCAACTTCATTGCAGCGCAAAATCTTGCATTGCTAGCGCCTAATACGCAACGGCTTTTGTTGTACAATGACCTGATCAGTGCATTCAATCCAAGAAATTTGTTTTTGAAACCTGTTTTTAAATATGGCAAAATAACTTTTAGTGTGGGGTAATTTGAACATAGTGTGGGAATTTCAATAAAGACAGGGATAGCTCCGAAAAAACAACGCTCCCAGTTTTTTTTTGCCAACATTTTCGACCCAAAGCAGTACCAGATAAGTGATGCCAGTTTTATAAAATTCACGTCTAATATCCGTCTAATGTCCGGCATTTTTGTTGATTTCCGTTCAAAAATGTTAAAGTCAGCCATTTGTCCAAATATGTCCGAAAATTACGCATTAATAAACACTCAAAACTGTCATTTAAATTGCTTATAATGTACTTTTACCAGCTGAAAAGTGTTCATTATATTGAGAGCCTAACAAGCTTTCCATTCGCCAATCAATGCTATGCACGATTACTTTATAAAAAGCGCTGAAGTGTAGCAAGCCATCGTCCAATGTTGTCCAGTCTGCTACCTTTGTCCAACCAATTCCGAATTGGACATTGGACAAAATCAGAACTCCAAATGTCCAGGTTTCGATTGGCACCACTTTAACAGATGTAGTACGGTTGGGAGAGTTTTTATCGAACAAAAATGATAGACGTTCGAGTTTTTATCGAACAAAAATGATAGACGTTCTGTTAATTGAAGACAGGCGAATTCTGTCAACTGACCGGTGTGCAGCGTGCAGATATTGATACTCTGCAACTGTTATTTTTGTTGTTGTGTTGATTTTTCAAGTGAAGGTATGTTTTGAATTGTTCTGCCTATTTGTTTATGGGTCAAACAACATCGGCGTTGGCGAGACTATCGTTTCTATGACAGGTAAAGGCAGTATGTTCAAATTATCCCACAGTGGGGCCATTTAAACACACCGTGACTTGGTGGAGAAGTGAGGCTATGCTTTTCAAGGCATGCTCGGCTCGTCCAAAAATGAGGCTTGCATGGTGAAAGCAAGTGACACTTGCGCTACTGAAGCAGTTTTTCTTCATCCTGGGTTAAGCTGGAATTTGGTACAACGGAGAAGACGTAAAAATATGTTCAAATTACCCCACACTACCCTATGGAAATCACCAGAGAGTTTGGACAGCAACCGTTTGTTTTCGCTCAAATAAGTCGTACATATTGCCATCCACAATCCACACGGCCCTCGGCCTCATATTATCATCACTCCTCTGGAGACGACTGTGCTGTCTCGGCAGGCACGCGCTCTTGATCCTCCCGGCCCCACCCACTCCCAATAAACGTCCTCTGTCGCTGACAGAAACTAATCACCCTCGTGACATTTGCCTTTCATTAGCCGGGTGCCGTCCCTGCGCCGTATGATGAAGCGTTCGGCTCGGCACGGAGCGGCCATGCATATTAACGGCGTGTGTCAGCCAGTCCGTCAACGTACCGAGAGAGGAGGGAGTTTTAGAGGCGCCGGCTTCGTTAGTGGGATGATGGGTGGTGAGGAGTGGGTCAGGTCACGTGGCGCGGTGAAGTCACATGTTGTGGTTTTAGTGCAGGGGTCGGCAAATGGTGGGGCATGCCCCCTTTGGGGGTAATGGCGCCCTTCGGCGGGGGGTAATGAGGGCCTCTGAGAAAGCCTCATCTTTTTTAGAATTAATGGCTCCCTTGATGGGACAAACATCGCAACTATTGTGCCCCAGGATTCAAAGATTAGTCGAGGTCAAACGCACAAAGCATGAACTGATTAGCTGGCGCATGCCAATTTTCATGTAGCTGCTCACCATTCCGTACAGTCGTGGAAAGTTACTGTCATGTACTAGCCGGCGCTCGTCTATTGGCGTTTTCACAGTCACTAACGCAAGGGAGAGGAGTCTTCCATTGCACCCTGACCTGAGCATCTCGGTCTCTGAGCTGGAGCTTTGCAGAAAATTGAGCGTGTTGCCCGTGAAGATAAGCAGCCGCTGCTACCCAATTTAAAGGTCGTTGATCATTGGGTGACCTTCCATAGGTCAATAACAACTGCCGAGTTAATCGGGTCCTGCTGTAACTTCTTGAGGTGAGATTTTGTGGCCTGCCATGATCTCAAGAAATATCTCACAAATCAACGGTTATTCGGGTTAATGTCATGCCATTTTCAGGACAGATAAAAATGATCGGCTCGATGGTACAGTTTTTTTCGTGATCCGACCCTTGTGATCTATGTGATCTATTCTCGAAAAATACCCGCTACACCTATACGTATGGGGGTTAACCCGCGCCCCGCTGGGGCTCCTGGATTTCCACGCCCTGCTGGAGATGGAGGTTGAACACCCCCTATTAACTTGGCTCCTGGGTCACTAGCGAAACGCCGTAGTCGGCGATCGAAAGAGCATAAGAAATGATGAAGAAAAACTATGGTCACCTTTTAGGTCAAATCAAAGGTCAGGTCACCAGAGGTCATCGAACGTAAAATTTCGCCAATTTCCAGGTCAACTGTTGACAATTTTCGATAAACTGGCCTATAGCTCAGGAAAGGATAGTGAGCTACAGCGCTGCGGAAAAACGCATTCGATAGCTCTCTTAACGTTTTTTTTTTTCTGATGCCTGCCCTCAGATTCAACCGAAGATGGTTTAGCCTGCAGGGGAGACAAAAACTGCCAAAATGTACGTTGCTTCCTGATAGTTTTTCTTAAATAACTTTTCACTCAAAACCTGCAAGAGCTCACTTTTATCAGCATCGTGATCCTCCCGTCGAGAAGCATCGAAGGTTTTGTTGCACATCAGTCGATCCGTATCGTCGAGCTGAACACATCTAAGGCATTTTCATCGCTCTGAGATGCCTTTATCAAAGTTATTAGCGAATAGCTGTTAGATACCATTCATGACCTGAAATGACCTCAGGGACATACAGTGGGGTTACGGGTGCAATTTTCCGGTTCAGCGGTCATGTTTACTTGTAAATAAGAGTGTCACAGTGTTAGGAATGACACTGGTCCAAAGGAGGCACCTTTCAATTTTCTACCATTGACTTTGCGCCCTCTCCCATTGATAATGGGAGAGGGCGTGAAATTGACCTGAACTTTGGTCACCGACATCAAATCTCCGAGATGCAAATTTTGTACATGTTATTGCCTTTATCAATTCCTGAAAGCTTGAAAGAGATCTGTCACTCAATGCAGCTAAAGCAGGCGTTGCAGTCTTTACTGAGGTGAGGTGAGGTCACTCGAAGTGATCTGGTGACCTGACCTTGAGTGACTCTGGTCTGAAATATTCACAACATGTGCAGAAACGATGCATGATAAAATGTTCAAAAATGGTGGCGCTCCGTGCCAACGTTTTTGAGATATTTGCGAGAACCGCAGGGGAGGGGGCCTGCGGTTTCTCGCAGATATGGTACCCAAAGAGTCACGGAAAAGTATGGAATTTCAGTAACCTTGGTTGTATCACCAATGGGGTCTGGTAGGTGGGGGTAATGGCCCTGCCTGGCGCCAAAAAAGGGGGCACGACCCCGGAGGACCTGCCGACCACTGTTTTAGTGCTTAGTGTTTTAGAAGTGGGTGCTGACTGCTGGAGGGGACGATAAAATTAACCAGCCTCCATGCTCCCGTTGATTGGCTCCTCTCAAGTGAAGTGTTTACAGCATTTCTTTAAATAAAAAGAGAAGAGACGTTTCAAGCAGGCTTGTGCACCACAACAAAGTACATTCCGAGACGCTCACCTTTTACCGCGCTCCTCCCAATGTCTATGTATCTGTTTATGAACTGTAAACCTGCTCACACTCCACGTTTGTCCATCGTTCACCTGTAGTGACGGTGTTTCGTAGCCCGGTTAGTGTGCCGTAACTCGTGCTCAGCTCCCGGCCGGCTGGTCGTGCCTGCCCCCGCCGCGCTGCCCGGGAGGAGGGTGGTCGGTCCATGGACAGCATCCGGCTGACCGGATGGCTGGGGCGGGGGTGTTCGGCTGACCGGAGGGATGGGGGCGTGGTGGTTGACTTTGATCACGCCGGGCTGAGTGTGGGATGTGCACGAAATCCGGGTCGGGTGGCTGAGGACCGCGGGGAGGGTACCGACTCGCAGTCGATGGGAAATGGATGGCCTGATTCAGTGGATTTGGTTCAGTGTTGGCTGACGCTTATTTTAATGCTTCCGCATCATCGGCATGGCCAACGTAACCCTGGCTGATTCAAAAGTCGTGCAAAATGCCTGCATGTCCAAGTGTCCACTGTCCAGTACCTACTTATCTGTTGGATATCAACAAATTTGTGAGCTGTGATAGCAGCGCCGCTCGGTGGACAGCTTTCGAAACGATGAATTGCTCAATCTTGTGTGTCTAGATGGCGCTGTGGTGTAGCACAGCCGCCGCTTATTACACGCCATCTCAATCCCAATAACCACGCCGAAATCTGGCACGTTTTGCCGTGTTGTGCTGCCTCCCATAAACCCCAGTGCTCACCGGCTGTCCACACCCCACCGCTTTTGGACTAATACACCTCTGCCACCTCTCTGACAAGTCCGATCGGCCGGTGCACCCACCACCCCCTGGCGGCTGGCTGACACCCCTCTTTCTCTCTCCCTCAGGTGTGAGCTGCCGGCGCCGGCGCCATGAAGCACGTGCGGACCACGCCGGGCCCGGCGGCCTCCTCTAGGCCCGTCGACTGGGCGTCCCCGCGCACCCCGCGCTCCGTGCGTCTGGTGACCACGGGAGTCAGTGTGCGCAGCAGGACTGTGTCGACGACACCCACCCGGCGGCCGCTGGGGGCAGACAGGGGCGCCAGGTCAGTAGTGGGGACAGCAGGGGCGCCAGGTGGGTTTAGAGGGGCTGAGGGGACGTCAGGTCAGTACAGGGAAGTAGATGGACGCCGTACAGATCATTAATTCACTCGTACAGATCATTAGAAAGGTTTACGTTTGCTAATTGCTTCATAAAAAGCTGTGCTGTGTATTTTTCAATGCAACACTGAAAATACTGCTGCATCTGTCTCATCCCCTGACAGCTTCCCCTTCCCCCTCAGGAGCGCCCACCGGACGGCTGGCGGCTCTCCGAGTAAGCCGCGCACGGTGTCCACTCCCCGCTCGGGCTCCGTGCACCGGGACATCTCCAGCGGCCGGCCGGCGGCGCTGCGCAGCCTCTCGGCCCGGCCCCGGGAGCTGGTCAGAGCCAGCGCCGCGCGGCCCCTCGAGCTCGTGCGCGCCGGCTCGGCCCGGGGGCGCTCAGCGGCCGCTGACGCTCTGCCGCCGCCCAGGGCCCGGCAGCTGGCGGCCAATGTGACCGTGCGCCCCAAAAAGCCGCCCCGATCGCCGGTCAAACGCCTGCGGGCGTCGCCGGTCAAAAAACTGGCGAGGTGAGGTCAACGATAAGTGGTGATGCTTTGTGCTAAAAGTACATGGCTAGGTGTGTTGATTGGGGGTGGGAGGGAATGGGTTTGATCCGTAGTATAAGGTGGATATAGGACGGATAATGCTGCTGCAGATATAGTTTGCGGGCTTAGGAAGTTTATTTGGTTTGCGGGCTGCAATAGTACGCACTTGGGGTAGAGCTCAGGGGCCTGCTCATCAGTGCATGGTATGTGAGGTGTCATTTAGCTGTGGTGTCATTCAGCCAGTCTTGATGGGACCTTCACTTTAGCTCAGCAGTGCTTAGTCATGGAAAGAAACTGATGTTGAGCCTTCAGCGGGTGCATGTTTGGGATAATGTCTTCATCTAAACTCTAAAGCCAGGGTCAACGTGGAATATTACCGTCGAGTCATTGCTGACCAATTTGTCCAGGGGTCGCTGTTCTCAGTGTACCATGCATCTGATGACCTTGCTCTGACGTTCTCAACATGCCTGGTGCGGTGGTGTGGGGTCGCGGCACCCGGAGGTCACCATCCCATCCCCTCACTAGTCACAATCCCTCTGGCGGCACGGCGCGTCGTCAAATGAAGGACTCGGCGACGGCGCGGGATACGCGAGCGGTCTGCTGACGAGTGGCGGGTTACCGATTAGTGGAACGGTGATCGCTGGAGTGATGATGCGCGTGGATTAATTCGTGAAGCGAAGAGACGAAAGCGAGCGACGAGTGAAGCGTGCTGAACTATGATATCGATCGCGGATTCAGCATTTGTGGCGGATGGACGGTCGGAAGACTGCAGGTGTGGATAGTGCTGCCACCTGTGGCGTGGCCTGGGAAGCTGTGGTTTAGGCAGCTCTGTAAAGATGGCAGGATGTGCTAGCCGTCTTCCGTACCAGCTGACTGGAAGCAGAAGACAAATGTCATCACCGGCCACTGCCTCTGCTGCTTCCTCCTGGAGCCTTTTCCAGGTGAGTGTGCTGTTCGAACAGCAACAAAGGCTTGCCTTTTGTGGAGCTGAAGCATAGAGTTCATCGAATATTTGCTCATCCGCCATCGCAATAGCTAGACACAGCTTCCATGTTGTAATTTATGCTCGGGATAAATTACAACATAATCCGTTGATGTTTTTTCAGACAAGATGCATGCTATTTTCAAGCACGTCTCCAACCTTCCCGAATTCCATGTGTGTGGCTTGGTGCGAGTGACTGCGACTCGGTGACGCGACTCCCCGCGTCGTACTCAGTCGTATTTATAGTGTCTGCGGTACTTGCTTGAGTAACGTAAGAGCTCGGACTTTGCCGCCTTCCGTTGGTCCGTTTACTGACTGAAGGCCAGAAACTGACGCTCTCTGGTATTTGAAAATCATATAATCATGGACGGCACCGCTGGGTGTATGTTTATGTGCTGGGATATGTGTTGGTGAAAACGTCTGCTAATTGACGTAGTACGACCCCTAATTAGGCAGCGGACTTCCTCAAATGATAGTCATTAACCGCGGGACGACATAGCAAACGCTGCAAGACGAACTGTCCAATCTCCTAGATCCAGGGCAATTGCATCAGCATTCCATGTGAAAGAAAATCAGGGCTTTGTAGGTCTCAACGGGGAGTTGACATGTTTATTGCATAAGGAATTTGGTCTCGGACGAATGATCGTTCCAGTTGAGTGACTCGTTATATGCGCTTTGACACTGGACTTATGCCACATTCCATTTGAACCTTCCAGTCATCTTTGAGGCTACATCTAGACAGTCTGCCATTCCCGTCCACTACCTGCCTTACTTGGAATACATTCACATGGGCTTGTTTTTCGACATGCCGCGGGCGTCAGCCAATAGCGACTCGGCCCAAAAGCGGACATTCATCAAAACTGGCCGATGGAATGTTCCAACTGTCATTGTTCTTCCTCGTGGCTCCTAATAGCTTCCGTGAACTGACAGCAACAGTGGCGGAAGACTTGTTTTGTCATTCCGCTGTCTTGTTTCCGTGTTTCTGGGCGGTGAGGCTGGTAAAGTATCGCCCAAACACTGGTGTGGTGCCGCCCAGGCGCTTGTGTGGTAATGCATGCTTTTGTTTATGGTGTAGGAGGCATTTAGTGTTTCCGTGATATCCAGGGCACGGAGCTCATTGCCTCCATAGCTCATCGTGGAGATGAGTTTCCCTCGGCGCCGCCCGTTCATTTCATTCTGGACAGTATCAGCGGCTGTGAATTTAATGAACGACGGAACGTGAGCTGACCGGCGCCGGTCCGCCGCCCAGCCGACGCGACTGGCCGGCGTCGGCGCCGACGTTCATGGACCGTCGCGTCGCCGGCGGCGGGGTTCACAGGGCGTGGCCGAGCGACTGCAGAAGGTCAGGGTCGAGATGGGACGGCGCAAAACAGTCACCATGGACTCCGTGTGCAGGAATTGAAACACTATGCTGTGTTTAGGAGCCTGATTTGTGGTCTGATTGGGAACCAAGGGTTCTGTATGTGATTGCGCTTCATTCATAATTTGATCAATGAATCTTGTTGAGAGTGGAACTTGCATGCACTTTCGGTTCGATCACGTGCACCAGATGCTGTGTCAGCGTGACTGGCCGTCCGGCTCCACCCCGCTCCTGATGACGGTGGCAGGAAAACATCCGGGGTCTCCTGTGTCACAGCGAGGTCTCCGAACCGTCTCCAGGGTGTCTCCATATCGTCTCTCGGCTGTCTCCGATCCGTCTCCGGCCGTCGGTATGTGTTTCCAGCTGCAGCGGCGACCTGCCGGGTCGGGTAAACACAGGCGCTGGAAGTCCGGCCGGCTGGGCAGACCGTCCTCTCCGTCTCCATAGCCATGCTATCAGCCGGCCTGCCATGCTGAGACAGACCGTGACGAGAAGGAGTTGTTCGAACTGCTCGCTGGCAGGACGGGAGGTGTCGGCTCCAGCTGCCAGAGCCCCTAGCCACCGCCGTACGTTATTAATGAAGACGATATCGACTGGCGAATGATATCCGGTGGCTGGGTTTGTTTAAAGGGACCCTCCCACCTTCAAAAAAGTTAATGAATTGGCATGAAAGTGATGTCGCTCGGTTCAGAAAGAGCAAAAACGAATATCTACCAAATTTCATCGAAAAATATTCACCGGTTTTCAAGATATTAGACTTTTACTTTTGTTTACTTTTTGGGATCTCCGCTGTTCCTAGCGACTTTATTTGAAAGTGCGGCATTTGTTGCGCGCAAAGCAGCATATACCACCGCGTGCTACAAAACGTTTTAGTCAAACATTTAACGGACGTTCGAAAGCCTGATGACGTCATCAGATTCCCGTAATGGTTAAGAGATAGGGACCACGCTGGTCCCACCCTGCAAGTAAAGGGAAGAAATTTCTTGAAGACCATAAAGCTGCGGGGGTTGCGACCAGGATAAATGGTGGTTTCTGAGCCTGGCCGCAAACTTCGCTATCTCAACTCAAAACTAATGTTAAGGTGGGAGGGTCCCTTTAAGGAGCCCGGAGCTCGCCCCCGACTGCCGCGCCGGTGGCCCTGCCGTGTGCGGGCGCTGTGTGATGCGTGGCTGCCCTGTGCGTGTGATATGATTGGCGCCCGGGTGCTGGTCTTGGCTCGGCCCGCTGCCCGGCTCGCCAGACGGCCCGTTTGACACAGATGTCTGGTGCGGGGTGCCATCCATCCGGTCCGGCCGTCCAGAGCCGGGTAATGGAGCCTTCGAGTGGCCGGCCGGAATGTTTGATTGCGCTGCAAATGTAAATAGACAAGCGGAGATGAGTTATGCCGTGTCGGGAGTGATGGATCGGAGTGGTGAATTGGCCGGAATTATGGACCTGCTGTGCAATGCCGCCTGATTGATGTGCGCCACTCGCATTACCTCTCGCACGCGACGTGTTCCGTCAAATAAGGCGCACTTTCGTGGCATAGGTATGAAGTCGGCATTGGCATCGATGTCTTGGCTTGTTATATGACCTTCGCTTATAGACAAACCAGGGGCGATCCTGATTTGAGGAGCTCCTTCTGAATGGTTAGATTGTCTCGAGCTGTCGATGATTTCATTCGATCACCTGGAAGCATAATTGCTTGATTGCGCCTTGAAAATCGGAAATTGCTCACTAGCACTACATGAAATTAGTCCTCAACCGAATCAATGCGCTGTAAATCACGATGGCGTCCCAACGCGTCTCGGCGTATACCAATGCCGAGACAGCACCCGCTAGCCATAGCATGGCATATTCATTGCAATGATGCGGGCTCGCTCGTACAAATGCAAAATCTCAGCGGGCGACAGCTACCCATTGGTATCGGCGTCAGCTCGTTGGCGATCGACAAGTCTGAAGCTGGCTCGTCAAGGGAGACTGCAACCGTCACCTCCGCGATTTTGTATGCAATGCGGGTAGGAATGCATAATGCATATGCCTTGTTTTCAGTCGTCGCTGGCTGTATGTCGTTATGCGTTATGCAATGAGGTTATGCGATCCAAACCTGATTGTCAGGGCGACCGTTGAATCCGATGCTTAAGGATTCAGAAGGTGGTTTCTTGTGGCCGTTTATGGTTTATTGTGGTTGGTTTGGTCTGGTCTGGTGACCGACTATATGTTGTATATGGGATTTTTTCGGCTCCTGTGCCGCCATGACGCACCAGTCTACTGACTTTGAACGGCCTGGCCCGACGTGCGGACATTCAGATTTGGTGCGGAGTCTCATCTGGCTCCGTTGAAGGGTTCCGGTTTCATTTCCGGCCAGACTGTAGCCTGCAGCGCTCATATCTGGCCCCAAAAGCCGCGGTCTCTCAAATCGAACCTGAGCTGCGGCGGCGACAGACAGACCCGCGGGCCCTCGCCCGTGCCGCCCCGCGCGGCGGGCGGCCCATACACGACCTTCAGCTGGGCTGGGCGGCCGCCGGCGGCTGGTCGACCGTGGCGCCGCGTGGCGGCCGCGCACCCAACTAGAACGCGACGCGGCCGGCCGCGCTCGGCCCGGCAGTTTGTTGTCGGCGCAAGTGGCGTGGACGTGGGACTCCGGTCGGATCGTGCTCTGAGGTGAGGTGTGCGTGCCTGGTGCTGGTGCAGACCGGCTGGGACTGGTGCTGGGAGTTGTCCGGTGGTGACGGTCACCCTGACAGGGGTACAGACAGCGGAGTAAGCCGGTAAGAGGCCACTCAGACGGCTAACGGTCGTAGACATGTGGGCGGCGGCTGACGCGTTATCTGCGCTCACTCAGTGGCCTGTGACGCCGTCGGCTCCGGTTCATTCGCCAGTCTGCCTTGGTTCAATCGAGTCCGTGCTACATTTTCTCTCCTGTCGCCAGCACTTCAGTCTCCATTGGTGACACTGGTGCTGCTTTGTTATAGAGACTCGGGCCGCGTGGGTCCTCTTGAGCCCATGGGGATTTGAACTGACCCCGTGCCACCCGACACCCTATCCCCGTCCGCTTTAGCTCATCCCCTCTCCCGCCCCTCCCTCTCTATCCTCTCTATCCTTCACTATCCTCTCCGTCCCTCTCTATCCGATCCCCGGACGGCACCGTTAGGGCGTCCGTCGGTCCGGGTCCGTCCGGGGCTTCTGTCCCAGTGTGTGTGACGGAGCGGCGCGGTGCGATTCGGTGGCCGGCAGCCCGTGACGGGCGAATGGCCGACCGACAGCCGTCCACAGCGCCGAGGGTACGCCAGAACGCTGTGCTACAGGGCAGAGCTAGTGGTCGGTCGAAACTCAAAAAAATCATCTTGGCTGTTACCATAGACTTTGAGGAGGCTGGTTCAGGTTATCTACACTTCTGGCTACTTTCTTTTTGTTTTGTCTCCGCTCTCTTCCAAATATCCATCCGTTTTCACGCGTACCACACCTGCTGCATTAGTCTGACAGGCAATTGATAATTGACCAGCGCATGTTCATTCGACCTTGAACCCCCGACAGCCTCTCCCCTCCCCCTCCAGTGACCAGCCGGTGGCTATCGCCCCGCCCACGTCCACGCCCCGTCCACTAGGCTACGTCCACGCAGTTTGTCTAATTGTCTGACCAGTTCATGTGGACAGTGGACGATGGGGTGATGATCCATCACGGCGAACGACACACATGGACCGCTTTCCAGGGTTATTAATTATGAGTACGGCACGTGAGGCGTTCAGCTCACTCAGTCGAGTTTGACT